TAGTAAGGGACTGACCCAGTAGTTCCGATGTATGTGATGACTGATGTTTTTAGTATTGGTTTAAAATTTTAATAAAAATTAAAAAAAGAAAGGGATTAGACAAATCGATGAAGAAGTCCTGCTAGTGATATGCTACTTCAGAGGCAGTATGGCTTTTTATACCAGACTAGGAAACTGACATGGGAGGGCTATGTTGGCTTTCTGGGAGGCAGTTGGACACTGCGAGCTAGTAAGGCCTGATTCAGTATGATGCTTATGTTCTTATGCCTATTCCATCTTTCATTTGCCCATTCACCCTGGCTTCTCATTCTTGCTTTCATCATCCCCCTTCCTTCCCCTGCTCCCTCTCTTACCCATTTGACTGTTCATTTGTGTTCATGATCCTTGTGGTGATTTGGCCTTGTAAGAAAACTGTAGGAAATGCTTGTTTAGCAAATGTGAAAGTAAAAATAGCCAAGGTCCCTTCAGTGCTTTTTAGTTCTGACCTGAAAGAGTTCATGGAGACCTTGTTTGTGTTGCTTATCGTAATGAATGTGGATGCTTTTAGAGCAGGGGTCCTCAAACTTTTCTACCAGGGGGGCAGTTGAAAGCTGCTGGTGCGGGACCGGCATGGCGGTGGGGGTGGCGCGTGGGGGCGCACGAGGCAGTGGCTTGCCCGCTTGGAGATCGTTTATTCCAAGCAAGCAAACCACTGCCTCCCCGCGCATGGGGCAAGGTGGGCGGAAGCGGGTGGGCGAGTCCAAATGGGTATGGTGGCCGGATCTGGCCCCTGGGGCCGTAGTTTGAGGATCCATTTTTTATAGGATACATGTCCTGAGATTTATCTAAATTGGCATTCCACATCACACCCATCTTTTCTCCAGCTCCTTCCTCTCATTCGTTAAAAAGCACCTGGCGTGTCCCAATTGGCTGGGTGGCAGCAATGGTAGAGGTGCTGTTGATGCTATCCAGGTGTAGTTCTGCCCCTGGGTTTAACATCCATAGGGTTAAAGTATCCCTGTACTCTGAAATATGCTTCTACTCTGTCACCTCGTTACATGCTCTGTCTTCTCGGTGGTAGGCATGACAGGGCGACGTGTCAGAATTATATTTTCTTAAACTGGGCAGGCGCTTTTTTAACGTAAACAGATGAGACTGAAATGTGTTGCTTTACCGTAACGTTGCAACGGGCAATCAGACTGCACAGGAATAAAGGCCAATTAATTTAGTTGGGCTTACTTCCAAAAGAGTGCACTCAGTATTGTGACGTGAATATTTACGCTCTCCTCCCTAACGGAAAAGAAGTCGGGCTCTCTTCCTCTCGCACGACGTGCAGCAGACTACCCTCCCGCGCGACTCGCCGCCTCTACCGAGGCGGGCTCTCCCTTTCTACCGCCTTTGGGCAGGCGCAGTTAAGGAGGCGGAGCTGCCTCCGAGCCAGTGCGGACACCCTGCTTTGTGATGGCGGCGGCTTGCATCCCTGGCCGCTTCCTACTGCGGAGGAGACAGCGGGGACATTTTTTCCTCCTGCCGGAGGCGAGAACCGCGTCTGCCAGCAACCGCCGGAGCAGCAGCAGTTTCTTCTGTGACACTGCCAGGTGCGGAGGATGGGGAAGGAGGAGAGGAGGGGAGCAGGACACCTGCCGCCACCCGCGCACTGCGAGTGGAATGAAAGGGAGACGAGAAAGAAAGATGGCTAAACGGGTGTGTCGCTCCCTCACCCGCTCTTGGGATCGCTTTCAGGGCCGAGCGGCCATTTCTTGGCTGCCGCCTGTCTGATGGAGAGGCCTTGCGCGCAAGGTGGAGACGGATGAGAGCCGTGCGGGGGTCCGTCCCTGCCCCCCACGCTGCTAGCTGCCCTTCTCGGAGAACGCGTTCAAAACAGGTCCGAGAAACGAATGCCCTTTTCAGAATTGCCATTGCAGCAGCCCGTGACGAAGACAGGGGCAGGGAGGAAGGACCTGTCTCTTAACTCCCTCGCCATCAGTCTCTGGCCGATGCCCCTTCTCATTTGCTCATCTCTGCTCTCCCTTTTGGTGGCGAGGACTGAGCCCAGGCCGTCTCATGGAGGACGGAGACGGGGCAGGCGGCTGTGGCGCAAAGCTCATTAGAGAAAACAGGCGGTGGGAGGGGATGGGGTAAGGGTTTCTCTTTGCCCAAGGATGTTTTCTTTTTATTGCAACCTTAGAGGTGGCGCTTTAATGTTTGAGTGAGACGCATTCCCCAGCTGGAAGACACAGGATTTTTTTGTCCCTATCTAAATAGGATCAAGGTTTAAGTGAGGAAGTTAAGTGAAAACAGCTATCTGAAATAAGGCTCTCCCCCCAAGAAAACTCCTATGACAAAGGGAGAACTACCCTAGAGCAATTTTACTTGCACTCTGAAACTGCATATTATTACGGTTATTCTTGAAAATAAATCCTTTTAAAGAAAACCTCCTGTTGTGTATTTTGGGCATTCACACTCCAGGACACAGGCCATTTGGTCAACAGTAGGGACTGGGACTAGAAGATCTGGTTACTGGTCACCACTCAGCTATGAAGCTCACTGAGTGACTGTAGGCCAGTCACTGACTTTCAGCCTAACCTACCTCAGGATAAAATGGAAAGGAGAATCTTGTAAGCCACTTTTGGGTTCTTTGCAAGATGAAAAAAAGGAAAACTAAATGTAAATATGTAGTAATAATAACAGTAATGATGCTGTAGCTCTTTAGCTGATAGTTTGAAATTCATAAAAGATGAGCAGAACATGTAGATCCTTGAAAGACTACAAAGGGAGACTTCATTTCCCAGTGAGATCATTCAGCAGAAGTAGATAGGCACTCTATTCTCAGAGCTGCCCATGTTGCCTTTGACCAGTTTGAATGACAACTGCAGCTATGAGCTGTAGCACTCACAGGCACCATTTTGCATATTCCTATTTTGGAGGTGGTTGTGTTGTGTGAACCTGCTTAACCCTACTTAAGCCATATTTGTCGAATACATATGACAGACACAAGCCCCAAGTGCATATGCAAAATGTTAGCTGCAGGCAACCTGCATGTTCCTCAACAGTGACCCTACTGAATAGAAGAGTGAGCTGGCATTTTTCCAATCTTAAGAATTTGAGATACCAGCTGAGGGTTGTCTGATACTTTGAAACAGATGTGGTGCTGCATTATTAAAATAGGACAATGTTTTTTAAAACTAAACAACAACTATTAGGGAAGTGTGTGTGTGTGTGTTTTAAGAACTGCCTTAAAAGCTCATTTGTTATGTTTACTCATAAACTGAGCATCATGGCATACTAAACAATGTGTACAAGCTGTGTGCTGGTGCATGCAGCATATTTATCCCTGTTTTACTCTTCCTACGTGTGCAAGCTGTGCTAAACAAGCCAGATACGAGTAGCTCAGTGTTACATTCAAACTCAGGATTATGGTTTATTGCACAGGAAGTAGTCTGTATTTATTTATACTGCTCATTAGATAAAGTTCGCTGGGCAGTTCACAAATAACTAATTTAAAGCTATCTTACAAATCCTGGCTAAATGTTTTAGTTTATCCATTTTTTCTTCTCTAATCACTTTGGTTTTGTTTTTATAATGCACAGTTTTAAAAAAAAAATAGATTAAAAATTACGGGTTATTTTGGGTACAGTAAATCATAATCCTGAGTTTGGATGTAATGTCAATCTATCCATAGGTACTTCTAGACAAAACTTTATCATCTATCATCCTGCCATTTTTCATTCATGGAATTTTATGGGGTCCAGACATCATTTTTCACCCTCATGTTTTCCTACTACTACTTCTACAGGTTTTCTTTAAAATATTAAGGGAAAAAAGATGGAGTTGATAGCACTAGGAGCCCTTCCTCTGGGAGCACCTCATGCCTGAGTTAGAAACAAAAACAGAGCAAGTCAGAAGGGGCCTCCTGGGCCATCTACTCTGATCCCTGGCTCCAGCCGGCTCTGCTCATGACATGCCTACCATGTGCATGTCCAGCCTATCCTTGAACACCCTCACTTCAACCACCTCCTGTGGAAGCCCATTCCATACCCTAGCGGTCCTAACTGTCAAGAAGTACATCCTTATATCCAAAGTGAACCTTGGTTCCCTGAGTTTTGCTCATTCCTCTGGAGGGGAAAACATAATCTCTATCCACCTCTGAGTGACACCCCCTCACATACCTGTATGTCACCAACAGATCCCCTCAGAGTCTCCTCCAGACTGAAAAGACCCAGCTCCCTCAGTCTCGACTCATATAGCTTCCCCTGCAATCTGGCCACCATCCTTTTGGCCCTACGCTGCACCAATTCCAACCTGGCTATATCCTTCCTGAAATATGGAGACCAGAACTGAACACAATACTCCAGTTACAGGTGCAGCAGAGTCATACAGCAATACCTCTCTTGATGTAGAAGCCACGCTTCTGGCTATGCATGCAAGGGTGGCATTCACCCTCTTAAGCGTCACGTCATGCTACTGACTCAAGGTTAGCCTGCAGTCGACAAGTACCCTGAGATCCACTTAACAAGTGCTGCTCTTCAGCTCTTTGTTTCCTAACCTGTACTTGTGGCACCTATTCCTATGCCCCAAGTGCAAGACCTCACACTTATTTGCATTGAATGCCATCCTGTTGTCCCCCACCCACTTCCATAGTCTGTCCAGATCCTTCTGGATCCAGAGTACCTCCTCCTCAGTTGTGGCCATTGCCCCCATTTTAATATTGTCTGTGAATTTGATCAGCAAACTGGTTACCCCACCTTCCAATCCATTGAGGAAAAGATTGAACAGGATTGTTTCGAGGACAGAGCCCTGGGGGACCCTGCTCATCACCGGCCACCATCCTGATGATTCCCCACTAATAGTTACCCTCTGCTTTCGGTCTGTCAACCATGTCCTAATCCATCGAACAGTGCATCAGTCTATCCCAAAACTCAGTTTTTCAACCAGAATATCATGGGGCACTTTGTCAAAGACCTTGCAGGTAAACCATATCCACTGCGTCCTCGCCGTCTAGCCACCTTGAAACCTTGTCATAGAATTCCACAGGGTTTGTCTGGCAAGACCTGTATTGTGGAAGCCGTGTTGCGCGGCCACCAACCTCCCTTCTGGGGTTACTAGATCTCTCGCTATTATGAGTCTTTCCATCATTATTCCCAGAATGGGCATAAGGCTAACCAGCCTGTAATTCCCCATGTGTCGTGAGCTAGGTATTCCCTCCTCCGCAAGACAGACTCTCCAGCACTGACTCTAAGCATGCACAAGGAGAGATGTTGAACCCTCTATGCCACCCTTTACCCAAAGCTTTGCTTATGAACCCTTTAGGGCCTGTCTCTAAAGGGAGGGGCACTGTGGAAACTGGCATGCCTGCATTCTGCACTCTGAGCCCCTAATTGGGCCAGCTTGCGGCTGTAGCGACAGGCCCTTGGATCCAATTCCTCAGGGGGTGGGTGCTCTCCTGAAAGACTACCCATTTCCAAGTCTCCTCCCTTTAGATGTTTATGTCTACCTTCTCCTTCATTTCCACAGGTGGGGATACTAGGCCCCATGGGGGCTCTTGAACTACTTTCTTCCAGGGCAGGCCCAGACTGGTATTGAGAGATTGGACCTGCAGGTTCTGGCCTGTCCAGTGCAACAGCAATTCTAATTATTAGTGTTTCAATTCTGAGCCTCTTCTTGTTCAGCCAGCTCCCCATCATCCTCAGACTCTGAGCTATCAATCCCACCAAAACAGTCAGCTTCTCGTGTATGCCTGGGAATCTTGCCCAAGATTCGGACCACTGATGCCTCAATCCAGTCCTCTGCAAGCTCACCTATTCTCCACATGGCCTCAAAAATGGAGGCCAACAGGTGCAAGAATAACCCTGCCAACTCCCGAAGAACCCTTGGGTGTAACCCTCAAGTGTGACGCCTTTGTAACATCCAATGCTCTGAGCAGTTCCTCGACTTCTAGGGAGGTGCCCATCTCTCAACAAATCCCCTTCTTCCGTATTAAGCAGTCCTGCTGCTTGTCTCGCCTTCCTCTTGCTATTTACATGTTGGTAGAAGCCCTGTTTGTTGCTCCTGATATTCTTTGCAAGTCTCAGCTCATGATCAGCTTTAACCTTGAGAAGAATCCTGCAATGAGCCTCCTCCTCCTGGTATACCCTTTTGTCTTCTTGCTCCAGTGCCCATTTTCTACGGAGGTTCCCCTTATGTCTAATCCCTCTTACCACCTCTTTTTGCATCCACAATGATGCTCTCCTTCACCTCCCTCCCTTGCTAACTAGTGGTATGGTCAAAGCTTGTGCCTCCAAGACCTCTCTTTTGAGCCATCCATCCCTCCTGAACTCCCTTGCCTTCCAGTACCCTCTCCCCAGAGACTTTCCCCAGTCTGGCCTTCCGTTGACCAAAGCTGGCCCTCATGAAGTCCCACCTTCTTGTACACGACCTGCTGCTCATCTCCATTCCCCTGATCTCAAAACAAAGGGGTGTGGATGTGATCACTCGCATCCAGAGTTCCCCTAATCTACACCTCATCTATCAGCTCCTGCCTGTTGGTCAAGACCGAGTCAAGGAGATTTCTGACCTTCATCACTTTCCGGACCCTCTGTGTTAAAAACCCTCCCTCTATAGTGTCTAGGAAGCGACATGACCAGGCCACTGAGTTTCCCAACTAATATCTGGGAGATTGAAATCCCCCATAATTACTATGTCCCTCCCCTGAGATATCCTTCGAATCTTTTCTGTTAAGGCATCCCCCAAGGTCTCAGTTGACTCAGATTGTTTACTGGTTTGTGCAAGAAGGAGGAACAAAAACAGGAATAAATGAGCTGCATGTATTAACATGCACTTTTGTGTACCTGAGGAAGTGTTTGGGGGCAGTCATTGGGGGATTCCAAATATTTCATTTGGAATCCCACATCTCTGGGAAATCATCTTCCACATTTACCTGCTTATTCATGTGCTGAAATGATCTATGTTGCATCTGATCTTCCTGGAGTGCCTGGCTTTTTGCCCACATGTGCTTCACCTCCTGCTGCCTCCCACCTGAATCTTTTGCCTGAGTTCCCCCCCCCCACACACACACACACAAATCAGACCCCCTTCTCTCCACAGTCCATACATCCCTTAGGAAACAGTTCTTTAAAGACTCACAAGTGCTTGTACAGAGAGGGTCAGTTTACAGGGTATGAAAAATAGCATCTGCAGGTGCGTGTGTGGAGGGGGTGTTGTTTTTTGTCTGTTGAGCTAGGCCCCAGTTGTGCACATTATGCTTTAAAAATCCAGGCATCTCAGCATTTAACTCTTCATGAATGTAGCCATTGTTTCACATATAAAAACTGACAGTAAAAGGGTAATTTTTTGAGTTGCAAACTTGATTTTTAAACAGCTCTTGGGTAGGCTGAGCACATACTGATAGTGAACGAACAAGTGCTTTGAGATCTTCAAGGAATATGAAGATTTTATGTAGTGTGTACACAGTGACTGGGTTTGCACAACATGATAACCTATTGAGGTAGTGGGTTGTCATGCTGTGCAAACCTGGGCCATTTCCAAAATTTCCTATTTGTAGGTGTGGCTTGTTCTACTCCTGATGGATTGGCATGTTCTCTGGACCCAGATAACTTCCTCATCATGAGTGAAGGGAACTGACAAGTGAGCCTCTTGACAAGATCGAACCCGTTGTTGCATATGCCTTCCTCATTGGCGATGAGCCATGACAGGAAAGGCTTGTCGTTATGTGTGAATTCAGGAAATGTGGCAAAGTGCAGTCCATTTGGTTACGATGAATCTGCATCCTTGGGAAAGGGTGCCCAGCTCCCTCTGTCTCTGGCACCTGTACTGCTGCCCTCTGTGTGCCAAGCTGGCATGGGGGGCGGCTCAAGCAAGGTGCAAAATCTGGCACATGGGGAAGGGAAACCTGAGGCACATGTGCAGCAAGGGGGAGGAGGTGTGGGTGGCCAGGCAGGCATGCTGGTACATGGGCATGGAATGCATTGTCAGTGGCAGGTGCTGCTCTGTTGTTCCTGCAGAGCAGTTGTGCTACTCATCTGATGAGTAGGCAGTGGCTACACAGAGCAGCAGGCAAAAGCAAAACAAAACAAAACCTTGGGCAGATGCAGGCTGGTGGAGGAGAGGCAGGTGAGGCAGGCAGGCGCAGTGCACCTTGGAATTGCTTCTGAGCAGCAGGGGCTGATAGAATATGTTGTGCCATTTAAAGAAAAGATGAAGTTGCATGATAACTATTCATGAGTAGTTACCATGCACATATACTATACAAATATCTCACCAGGATACAGGGTGATACACAGTTGGCATTAGAGTTATGTGTGAACACACCCATTCTGGAAATCAGGTCTACTTTTGCAGTTGGAAAGAAGCTGTTTAACTTATTAAATAGCTTCATTTCTAGGAAAGTGAGGTGAGATCCTGTGTAAATACTGACAGATACCACAGAAGAGGGAGAGGAGAACTTTATAAAATCTATTGCAGACGATAATGTCATTTGTTCCCTACCTGTAGAGAGGAGTTGGCACATTGCTCACCCAAGCACTTTGGGAGGCCCATGGCCTATTCATGGAACCAAGAGGTTCTGCTTGTTTATATTCTGCATGCAGATTCTGTCGTTGTAGTCAATACACTGCTGTATATTATCTTTGATACAGGTAGTTTTGTTTCTTCCTAAATATTGTCATTTCTTAAATACGGGGCCTTGGCTTGACCAGGACCCCATGGCTAAAACAGCTGGCATAGTCAACAGAATGTTTTAGAAGACCTAACCACATGTCTGCAAAGAAAATTTGGATCTGAAGGGTACAGTCATCCTTGGGTGAATGGCAGCATCAGCATGGGGTTCTGGGTCAGCTTGGTTGCTCCCCTGGTATCCTGGAATGCAGATTTGAAGGGGCAGAGGCCAACTCCTGTTGTGCTAGACCAGTGCATGCAAGAGTTGTGAGTTGGCAAAGTGAAAGAGGCTACAACCTGGTGGGGGGATGGATTTTCTGGACTGTTTGGTAGAATTTGTGGGATGTTAGCTAGAAGCAAGAAAGTGTGAACAAGGTCCCTCTCTGGTGAGTTACAGGTGCTCAAAAGGAACAATGCCTTGTTACATGAACTTCGGAGAGTGTTCTGAAGAGCACTCCACAGAGAACAAAGCAGAGAAGCTAGCCATTAGGGTGCCTAAGTGGAGCATAAAGAAGTGCTGTGGCAGGGCACAGCCATTAGATAAGATCTGGACGTTGATTGCGCAGCCTGGTTGGAACCCTGAAAAGTGGGATAATGACATCTGGAAATCTTTGAAAGAGAAATTGATTGAGAGGGAGAAGGAAGACACATCCTAGGAGTCTGCTGTGCAAGTTTGTCCACTGATTCAGAACAAAATGAAAGGGTCCCTGCAGTGCAAAGTCCCCAAGCTACATACACAATGAGGGATTTTCATGGTTGTGGGATCAGGGAGCAACCTGTGTTTCTAAGCTTTGAAAATTGCATCAGACAGGAGTTTTGTCTAGCAACTTGATAATCAAAATTGTTTTTGGGGATGCTCAGCCTGCTATGATGACTTGGATGTAGTGATTTTGGTTGCTGTGCATATGCAGCACCTTGATGTGGTAGATTGGAAAGAGGAAACATGGCATGATGTCATAGGATGGGCTGCAGCATAGCCTGACAACTTTCAGGGGCTAGTCCAAGAGGCCTTTACACCTGGCATGAGAACCAAACTCATGTGTAACTGGCTTAAAGGTTCTTTTTTGTTTTGTTTTTGTTTGTCCAGGTTCAAAGTGTGGGCCAAGTGGCCCTTTCTTGGGCATTTTTTCTGGGTGAAAAAGTGGGCACAAGCAAGGGCTACAAAGCAAGGGAGAGGGAGAATAGCAAGGGTGAGGTGTTCCAATGAGAAATGATTTAGGCTTTGATCTGGGATGGGATCCCTGTGGAGGAGATTAATAAGAAAGCCTGTGTTGAGAAGACTGTGTTGTTCAAGTTTTGGGAAGAGTGTAGCTTAAAGAAATACAGCCCCAACCCAGGTGCATGCAGCAATCTTGAATGTACCACCAGAAACCTGAGGGATGAGACATAAGCACTGTGCTCTATACCTACTTTCCCTGTATGTCTTTTCTGTAGTCTGCACATAAACTTCCTTCATCTCTATCCACAGGTAAGCTTATTGTCTCTTTGGCTATGGACAGACAAGGGGATATGACAGAAGCATCCCTGTTTGCATCCATTTGTTCAACTGTCTCTTTTTGTCCAACTGTCATCTCTGGACAAGGGCTTGTAGCACTTTTGTGAATGTTATAAATGTATATATTTTATCAAAACCTTCTGATTCAGAATTTTATACACAAAGAGCATGTGGTTGCTTGTGACTTTTCAGTGTATTTTATTTTCACATCAGTAGTTGTGACTATGTGTATGTATTCTGGTAATACATAGAAACATCTGCTGATTCTTAGTGTTCTATGGGCTAGAAAGTGAGATCTCACCCAGCATGGGTAACTGGTGGAACACTGAACTTTTATGTGGGAGATATCTGGGGTGAAAACTCACAGCTTATATTTGTTAACATATCCTCTGGGATATGGTATTATGAGAGTTATACTAGAGATTAGTGTTTAGGTGGTGGCTTGGGTGAGGAATACAAAGGGTAGGGTTTATCCTGAAATCTTGTACAGCGTTTTTTATACCATACTTGTTGTTAGGTATAATAATCAATCTTTTTTAAAGTGAACTGTGTAGATTTTGTGTTAGAATAACATTTGAACAGGTTCTGTCCATGAGAAACACACACTTCAAGTTCAAACACTTCTGACAGAGTGTTGCAAAAACTCTTGGGCCAGCAGTGGTTTCACTTGCAAAACCCATGCTTGTATAGCAGATTGTATTAGCTATCCTGGCTGCCTGCAGGGTCATGAGGTGGGTATAATGCAACAAATAAGCAAATACAGTGAATCACTGTGAGTAGAGGTCTTGGCCTGGGGTATGACTATTTGCAGTGCAGATTAGGTAACTTACACCAGTTTCAGTGCTTGAGATTCATGTCACTCTGCAGTGATGCCATTCTATTGTAACTCTGAAGCATCTTATGTTCTGGTTAATTAAGTAGGTCTTTCAATTGTAAACATGAGTTATGAGTCGTGGTTAGGGAGAATACAAGGCAGTGTGCCCATGTTTATTGGTTTCTCTTTTCTCTTCTAGGAGCTTCAGAGAGAAGAGATTCCATCTTCAGAATTCAGCCCTGTCTGCTTCCCCCATATGCCCCTTAAACTCATTCACTTTATGAATCAAAAGGATACTATTAAGTAAAATGTTTAGATATGAAAAGGTATTTTTGCCTTTGATGTTTTAAGCATACTTTATTGTTTTAGAGTAGCATACATGAAATTGTAGCTTATTTCAGCATTTCATTTGTTCTGACAACTTTAGACTCTTCCAATTACTATCAGTTTTCATTTTTATTTGAAACTACTAGTTGCATAAGAGATATGGTCAGAAACTTCTCAATGTTTGATTAAATTTTCATTTTGATTGAAAGAAGAGAAGAGACAAATTAGTAGTAAAGATCTGAAATTAAGACTAGTCTTAGGATCCTTGATAAAAATGTTCAAGAAATATTTTTTCTTCTACATTGATTTTTCTAAATACTATACAAGTATATATTAAAAACAGTGCAGCTGTCTAATCTCTTCAGAATGCATCTGTAGCTGGAAATCTTGATAGTGTGTCCATTTTAAATACCATTAACACTGAATGTACAAGATCCTACGATCTGTACAACACTTTACTTGTGATTTAAGCCTTGTTGATTTAAGTGGAAACTAACAGTGTAATCCTGTGCATGTCTACTCATAAGTAAGTTCTGTTGTGTTTAGTGAGAATTACTCTCAAGTAAGTGAATATAAGATTCCAGCCAAAGTATAGATAACTTCAGATGCAATTGTAAACCTCTGTAACTAAGGCTTATTGAACTCAGTGGGCCATAGGGTTGCATGTCTAAGCTGGTTCCAATCCATTGACTTTATGTCAATGGATTCAGAGATAGACTTGGGAAGGATAGTAGATGGCTATTACATGTGAACAATATGTATGGTCTGAAGGCACATAAGGCATATATGGCATCCACCAGGAGAGACTACCTGGGAACCACAGAGTGAGAGAGTAGACAGTCCCATCTCAGTAGACACCATGTTTTCTTGAATGCCCTAGCAAGAATTAGGATATATATGAATTTACCTTCAAGTTACCATATATCAAGAATTCTAATAGTCCCTTGGTCAGTAGCAAAAAGTTAGTGCTCCCTATTTTAAGGAACATAGGGAGTGAGGATACAGAATATGTGAAGATAAGAAATAAGTTGACTGTCCACCATGAAGTGCTTTGAGTACAGTTTACTGTAGAAAAATCACATATAAATTATGCTAAATAAGAAATTAGCACAAGGCCAGCCATGGCAGAGATCCCCCCCCCCCCGAAATTGGGCGTTTTCTTGTTAATATAGTAGATATCAAAAACCTTTGGAACTTACCACAAATTATCAAGATGTATTTTATCTACCTCTTCTGCAGCTCTATAAGATGTACTGTCATCTATAGCAATTGAACACGTCTATCTCAGTTGTTTCAAAAGAGTAGATTTCTTTATGGATCCCTGAAGTGGTAGTTTGAGATAGTTTATATAAGGGTATATGCATTTTCACATGGTAAAATCTGGATCCATTTCTTTTGCTTAGAGCTTTTAAAAATATGTGTTTTACATGGTTACAACATGAATGTAGCCAGTGCAGCTGATTATCTAAAGCTATGATAAAGTGCTTAGCTAAAAGTATGAAAATGTTACATGAAAAAGCAATAAATGACTGGAAAGTTATGTTATTGGTATCAATAAAAAGATATATTTATAATGAGTGGTGTGGCACCATTCTCATTGCTATATCACATGTTGCAGAAAAGTTATGGAGCATAATCGTGCATGCCCCTCATAATTTTGAATTATTTGGATACAATTTTGACCTGAAACTGTATCTTGGAAGCTGGAGCCAATTAATATTCAGGACTTAATTTTCCTTTGTTAGTGACTCATTTCTGGTAAAATGTAGCTACTTTCATTTCCGAGGCTTTCTCCTTGTAGACCAGTGTAGCCTGTTGCTTGTGTTCAGTGGCTGCTGGGTGTGGAGTGTCGTCATCTGCTCCTCTCACATGGCACTGAGGTTGCACACAGATGTGGAAGGTTGTCTTCAAGAATGATGCTACTTGTTTTCTGTTTGTTGTGCAAGATACAACATATTAATGTGTTGTGTGCTTTCTTCAGGATCCAGCAATGTTCAGAGGGATCTCTCTATTTGACTTTCTGTTTCCAAGCATTTTTTTTCTCTCAGATTCTTGGTGCAGCCCTTGAAGAGATTGTAGTTGTTGTTTTCCTTAGGGTATATATCTGGATACCAACAATTACAAGCTTCAGAAGCATGTTCTTGTCGGTGCCAGACAGCTGAAGAAAAAAATGTTAATATTCCCAGTCTGGTTGCCAGTTCTGAGGTCCAGGATATGGTCACACTCAAGACAGCTATTGTCACGCACAGGTTGGATCATCATGCTGTTGCTGGAGTGGGCAGGGATCTAGTATACAGCTCACCTTCCTTATCTGATGTATAGAAATTTCTGCCTAGCTCAGTGCAAAATATTGGGATTTTGGAGAAACCCCAATCCCAAGAAGCTCCTCAGCAGTTCATCTTCATCATCAACCTCAATTATGTAAGTGAGAAAAAAAAAAAACTAAGCCAGGTGTTGGCAACTTTTGGAGCCTATTGGTACATTTGGTAATGTGAGAAACTGTTCTGGGTGCTATCACAAAATGGCTGCAATGGGATGTATAAGAGAAATGGCTATGTGCAAGGCAGAATTGGTGTCTCAACCACCCCACACTAAATCATTCCTTTGAATCCACCAAGTGGGAATGGGTAGGGTACCTTGATGGATGCCAGGGAAAGCATATAAGCAATATATTGTCCGCCCATGTGCTAATTAGTAAACTAGCTACTACTTCAGACAGTTGATTTGTCAACAGGAAACTTGTTATACAAGAGTTAGAAACATATTATAGAAACAGAGTGAGTGAGAAGGGGCCTCCTGGGCCATCTAGTCTGATCCCCGACTCCAGCCAGCTCCACTCATGACATGCCCACCATGTGCATGTCCAGCCTGTCTTTGAACACCCTCACCGATGGGGCCTCAACGGCCTCTCGTGGAAGCCCATTCCACACCCTCGGGGTCCTAACTGTCAGGAAGTGCTTCCTGGCATCTAAATTGAACCTTGGTTCCCTGAGCTTTGCTCCATTAGAGCACGTCCTGCCCTCCTGTACAGGGGAGAACAGGTCTCTACCCACCTCCGTGTGACACCCCCTCACATACCTAGATGTCACCAACAGATCCCCTCAGAGTCTCCTCCAGCCTGAAAAGACCCAGTTCCCTCAGTCTCGCCTCATACGGCTTTCCTTGCAAACCGGCCACCAACCTTGTGGCCCTACGCTGCACTAACTCAAACCTGGCTATATCCTTCCTGTAATGAGAGGCCCTGAACTGAACACAATACTCCAGTTGCAGGTGTACCAGTTCTGTAAGTGAAGTTGACAGCTGTTCTGTAGAGGGCAGAGATAATCTCTTCTCTTCAGGGAATGAATGGCTATAACACAAATAGCAAATGTGTTATGGGAGCCATCTCCTGGACCAAATTGTTCAAGCTTTCTGTTAGTGTTTGGAAGTTAGGACTGAATCATGAGTTGCCCCACTCCTCAGGATATTTGACATCCAGAATTTGGATGCTCTTGCCAAAGTCCATCTTCTGGGATATGTTTTCTTCCATACTGTGAAGTGCCCTTTTGCCCTTTCACTGCCTCTAGGTGTTCAAAGGCAAGGCTTGCTGCCACTCAGCACCATCCCATTAGTGTGTGAACTAGTGACATGGGCCCATTTAGAAAGGCATGCTGCTGTTCCAAAACCAATGCCACCCACTATGGCACACTGCACTATATCAGCCAAGAGCAGCATTTAAGATTATAGTTGGCATTGCTGTACTGATATCCTGCAATGGTACATGGGTCATGCATAGCTGTTTTGAGATTAGCTTGAAAGTTGATGGTAACTTGATTCTGGAAGCATGGTGCCAGGCACTTTCCAACAGATAAAAAGTTAGCTGATTAGGGAAGACTTCCTATAGAAACAATGACTACAAACCTTCTTCCATCAGTGGGAAACATTCTCCTGCCTGTACATGCTTGACAGCTGCTTGGAAAGAGCCAAGAATGAAAGTCATGGGCATTGGTGAAAAGCTGCAACAAATAGTTCTGTGTGTGATCTGACAGAGTAGTGCCTTGTAGGAGTTCTTGGAGTTCTCATTCCTCTCTGCTTTGTCTTTTTGCTGGGGTGGGGGTACTGTTGTTTACAAGATAAAACTCCATGCAGACTTATAGGGAATTACAGTAGGATTCTGAAATTTCCATTGTTGTTGATCCAGGTGGCCAGTCTCTCACCCTACAATGCAAAAAAAAAAAAGTAAAAAGAGTTGTGTTTGGCTAACAGGGGTAAAGATTGGTGTGATGAGCCAGGTGCTTATATGGAAGGGTGACTGTACTCCCACTGCCAGCCTTCCCTTTGCAGATTGGGGATCAACTGCCTTTGAGATTGTAATATTTGTGAACAAGACTTTCTACCCCTCTGAACATATTTATTCCATATTTCTCCTACTTCTCTTATGTGGGAGACAGTGGCAGTACAATGACAATAGTTGTGAAGAAAATGAGTTATTTAACCGAAGCAGTCTCCATGTGTTATGTGGGGAGTGAGCTAAGAAGTAATTGCAGCAGTAATACAATGAGGCATGGCATCTCTTTCTCGCCTGCTGCCCACCTTACCTTTATGGGGTGTTTGCATCCTCTGATTATTTATTTATTTATTTATTTATTAATTACAAGCATTTATATCCCGTCCTTCCGCCAAGCGCGCAGGACGGCTTACACAATATAAAATTACAATGTAAAACCTCAATTATTAAAACAATATAAACAACACATCATGAACTTAGAAAAGAAAAGGGAGGAAAAGAATAGAAAATGTGACTGTGGAGAGAGGAAAAAGAAAAAAAACCTTAAATCTTAAAACATCTAAAAATCTTGATTATTAAATTGATGGTTGAATGAAAAGGTCTTCTGGCGCAGAAGGAGTATAACGTCGGTGCCAGGTGGACCTCTTTGGGGAGCACATTCCATAGTCAACAGGAAAGTTTTAAATTGGTATGTGTTTTTGTCAGGTTTTCAGGGTCTGGTACTGAGGTTTGAGGGAGTTTATAATGTTTACTAAGAGGTACTTCTCCCTGTTGCCCTTTCACTGGTAAAGATGACATGTGGCACTGTTTTGGATTCTTGGTGCCACTCTAGCTTTGATGTCTGACCGACTTGGTTGGTATTGTTTGCATATTATTTCTAAAAAAACGCACAATAGCATTATAAAAAATGCGAAAACTGTTTGAAAGTGTTTTGTTGGTATTCTGGATTTTATCATTCATCATGGAAAAACCAACTGTCACTCTGAAGAGTGCATGAAATGTGAGGAACAGCAGCTGTATCCCACTGAACTAATCATTTTCTTTGAACTTCTGAACTAGTAAAGGGAAGCTCAAAATGATTCCTCCACTTGAATATGAAAGTAGTCTTGAATGTTTCCTGGGTTTTTCATAAAGGCAGAGCTGTAAGAATGTGGGAGGAGAGTAATACAGAAAGGGCAGGACTGCTTTCTGTTCAGGAAATGTTTTTTCAAAATAGGCTTTCCCCTCTTACCTCCATAACATTTTACATTGTGCTTTCTGGTTTGCTGAATATTATAGCCATACTGTATTCTTGTTATTTTAGTTTGCAAGCCCAATGACAGGGCTGTTTTGTATGTTTTTAGTAATTTGAGCTACTACAGGGAGGCAATAATTTTCTGAAAAGAACTATGCACATTATAAGATTATTAATGTCTACTTTATCATTCATACAGCAGATTAACATGTGCTAATGCCAACATTTACTAGTGTGTACAGTAGTTTGACATACTGTGATGTTTAAAATTTAGACTTATAATTGTGACTTCTTTTAATGATTTCATTGCATTTTTCTTATAGTACTGAAGCAACTATTATCTCAGGGACAAAGCTGGCAGCACAAGTCTGTGAGGAGATCCAAAAGGATGTAGAATCTTGGATTGCCCTTGGAAACAAAAGGCCTCACCTCACTGTTGTCTTAGTAGGAGACAACCCAGCCAGTCATACATATGTAAGGAACAAAGTAAAAGCAGCGGCAGCTGTAGGTATGCCTTTGTGAATATCCAGAATGGCTTTTGTACAATGCCAGCATTTTTTACTCAATGCATAACGTTTTTGTAATGTACACAGTAGTTTACTTGTATACTGTTTTTCAACATTCTTCTTAATGAAAACAAGTTTTTATTTTAAGATTTAAACCAATAAGTAAATGAATGTGGATTTATATTTCCAATCTGAATCTCTTGAACAAAGTTAAATAGAAGTGCAACTGAAAACTAGAACTACACAATGTGTCTTCTTTCATACTTGGAAAAGACAAACTAAATGCTTTTTACTGAGAATGTTGCTTGTTTTGTGTGTTTTTTTAGGAATTTCTAGTGATATAATACTGAGGCCCAAGGATATTTCTCAAGAAGAGCTTTTAGACTTGACTGCGAAATTAAACAAGGATTCAAGAGTCAGTGGCATATTAGTCCAGCTGCCTCTGCCAGGTAATGCCATAGCATTTTATATAACATCAGGAAGTTATTATACATTGTAAGGGTAAATTAGCAAATTTAAGGGTTCAGTCCTGTTATTGCTGATCTCAGTGGCATGCAGGTTCCTGAACTCAGTGTATGATGTAACTGAGGCTGGTTCAGCTCAAACCCTGCACCTCATCCTGATGGCTGTTTTTGGCCATCTAGATGAATCTTGGGGAGAGGGGAGGGAAGGGGGCTGAGGTGTCATTTAGAAGGCATGAGCTGTTGGCTCTTGTTTCTTTCCTAGCATGGTTCTTTTCCTTCTCTCCAAGAGGCCATGCTGAGGGGGCACCAGCACTGAGGTTACAGGACCCTTGACCCGTGAGCTCCTCCACCGCATAAGATGGTGGGAGGCCATAGGCTTGCAACCTGTATAGTTAGGCGCATGGCTGAAAAAGAAGAGATTCATGAAAAACCAAATTCTTCAAGACTTGTATCATATTGCTTAAATGTGTCTAGGTCAGATTGCTTTGCAAGTGATTTTATCTGCAAAATGTTTGGCAATTTGACAAACACATCACTACTTCAGTCTGCTTCCATAAGGCCAGAAAGTGGAAAAACCACTTATCTGAGCACCTGGGACGGCTCTGTTCAACAGAATTGCACAGAAGAGAAAGCTTTCCTTGTGGGAATTGCTAGTGAAGATTTCTGTGACATCTGTGTCATGTTCAGTTGGCTGCAGCTACAATGATTACAACTTGCATTATATCCTAGTTCTTCACCCCGTAGCACTGGGTCCATAAACTGATTTTGACCCACCTTGCAGTACATTTCTTGGATCTAACTTTGGCATGTATACACAAAATTTATTTTAGAGAATTGCACTTATTTCTGCCTCTAGTAATGACTTCAAAATGTCTGAAAATTTGGATTCCAGGGGTTCTCAAACTATTGTTTCTGGGGCTCATCATGACCATGCATAATCTAATGGGGCTTGGGACCAGGATACATGAAGGAGCGCCTCTTCCCTTACATGCCCTCATGCCGCTTAAGATCTGCGGGAGAGGCTTTGCTCCGGGAGCCTTCTTTAAAGGAGATAAAAAGAACAACTACCTGGAGCAGGGCCTTCTCTGCAGTGACACCCAGATTATGGAATGCACTCCCTGGAGAGGTGTGCCTGGCACCGAGTTTATATTCTTTTCGGCACCAGGTTAAAACCTTTTTATTTAATTGTTATTTTAAACATTAATATTTTTATCATTAGCAGTCACTTTTTTGGTTTTGTTTTGTTTTTATATAATTTTATGGAATTTGTATTGTTTTATTGTTTTTAATTGTACCTTTGTGAGCTGTCCCGAGATGCCAAGGCATGTCGTGATGGCATATAAAAGTTTTAAATAAATAAATAAAGTCCTTTTTGTACTTACATACTTGCAGCTGGAATGCTAGAAATGTGTTGACCACATGGTGGCACTGCAACATAAATTCAGCTAGACTGCTGGCACATCAGATAGAACAAGTTTTAAACCTCATGTGGCAACCTATGGACAAATGTTAAATTCCTTCAATAGATGTAGCATAAGGATCTTATCTGTGGCTAAGATTTGCTTGTAACAAGTACATATTGATGGCTGTAAAAAGAAATATTAAGACTGAGTGGCATACTGGTAGGCCCAGGAAGCTGTGTTGGTGAACCAGACTGCTCTTAAGGACACTGAAGAAAATCCCTTTGTATGCTGCCTATTGCCAGACTTATGACCCAGGTCAGTTCTGGCATTATGTTTTCCAATAGCATAGCCAGAAATAACATATGGCTCCATCACTATGGATGCAGTTTGAAGTGATGGATATTTGTAAGCTCTTCAAAGAGGCCTTAGATGTGATGCTTTCTGAATCAAAATAAGACTCTGAATTGAGAAAAAAAGACAGCTTTTCTAACTGCCAAGATGAAATAAAAGAAAACAAGCCTCAGCAGCCAGTCTGAGATCATTTGGACTCCTGGTGGAAGGAGAAAGTTGTTATTTCTATACTACCCAATAGCTGAAGGTGTCTGGGCAGTTTATAATAAAGTGCAATAAAATACTGTGTAGAATACAAATAAAAAATACAAATTTGACTACCAGAATTTATTTTAAAAACTCATTTAGATAATTTAAAACAACTAGCCCTATTTAAAACAGCTGATACTCCCACCCCCACCACATGCCCTTTAGAGCTGTTAAATGCCTTGGCATTAGAGGGCAATGTTGATCTGGCATCAAAGGATTAGTAGAGTTGGCTGCAGGGGAGCTTCATTGGAGGAGATCATTCCATAATCAGGGGGCTGCCACAGAGAAGGCCTTCTTTCTTGTTGCTACCAACCAAGCCTCCCTCAGAGGTGAAACTCAGAAAAAGGCCTCAGATGTTGAGCCTAGTTTCCAGATGGTTTGTGGTTGAGAGAGGCATTCTATCAAGTGTCACAAGCCCCCATGTCATGAATCAAGTCAGCATGAGGATTCCCATTTCCAGCAAACTGAAGGCTGCGTTATGCTGATGGCTGGGTGACTGGCCATGTGGATAAGCACATGGCAAACCCCCAATTTTGTCATGATTGCTATAGATGAACCAGTGTGGTATGGTGGTTTGAGTGTTGGACTGGGGACCTGAGAGGGTAGGTTCTAGTCCTAACTTGCCCATGAAGCTCACTGGGTGACTCTCAGCCTAACCTACCTCACAGGGTTGTTGTTGGGAGGATGAGATGGAGCTATATAAGCTGGTTTGATTCCTTGCAAGAGAAAAAGAGGTGGAATACAAATGCAATAAGATGATGATAGATATTAGCCTCGATGGTTGGGAGGAGAAATGGAGCCCAGAAAAGCCTCAACTGGCTGGAGTTAGAGGCCACGGGATTGACTCTCTGGGTGTTCCAGGAAGGGATCTTAGATTGTCATGTTCTCTTCCAGGCAGCCAATGCATCAGTGGAGGTGTACATAAGCAGGCCTTCTTATGTCTGCTTACATATATGCAGGAGGCGTGTGCGCTTGATCTTTCTACAGTGAAAATTTGAGCAGAGAGCCATCTAAATGGTACACCAGTCAAGGATAATATACGTACTGGAAAAGCCAGATGATCTTCCAGGAGTCCAAACCATTACTTCTGATGGGTCTCTTTGCTGTGTCTTTGAGTGTACAGGCTCAGAAGTTCATGGTGGAGTCTGAGGTACACAGAAGCAGAGGGAAATGAATTCCCAGGCAAGACTGACTGGGCAGCCTACAGTAAAATATCCCATACATCAGGAAAGGGCTTCTAAGAAGATATGAGTTCAAAGGATTGAACTTGTCCTAATCACTATGCACTGACCCAGATTACTAGGATTTTTGGAATTGATAATATCTACCTAGTCATGTTGGATGTGACCAAATAAGGGGGATCTCGTGTTGCAAGTCCAATTCTTTCCTTCAACTGCACAGATTCAGACTGACAGCAAGGAGTCTGAGGAGAAAGGGCTAAAGCAGTTAGTTATCTGGATGAGGTTCAGTCTACCCTCTTGCCTAATAGACTATATATGACACCACCTGGAAACCCTTCATCAAGTGGTGTACCAAGGTAAATTGCCTAGAGACATGGAGGTCCACTTGCTTCTAGAATCCACAAATATCTTTACGGGCCATCCCAACAATTGAGGTTGCAAGCCCCACTTTCCAGTCAAGCCTTCCCAGTGCACCCTGCCTTCTTCTCTCATGAAAAGGCCTGCAAGAAAGAGGCCAGTTGCATTGTGCTGTTCAGAAGGTGCCACATACCTTTCCTGTCTCCACTCACTGGGATGAGTACAGATTAAGTTAACAGTCTAGTCAGTATGCAGCCACATTGTTTCACATCTTGGGTGTTTGGTGTTACTCTGTTTGTTCTGAGCCTTAGCCATATGACGTGACTGGAAGCATGCTTCTGCTAAGGAGTCTCTCCTTGATGGAAGAGCCACTTAGCAAGCTGGACCCTTCTTCTTCCTGTGTGGGTGGGACAGTCCTTGGAAGATCACAAATGCTCTCCTTATCACCTGCAAAAAGAATTCACAATAAGAAATTCCCCTTTTCTATTTTAAATGCTATCTATCTCATTAACTCTGAGTATGCAAACTTAACATAGAATTTGTGTGTATCTTATCCTCCATAAATGTTTGAAGTGATCTTAAAAACTGTGTGAGTTGAGCAAGATAAATAAGTATTGTTGAATGAAAGTTAAATAGCAAAAAATAAATAAAAATACATTTCCTAGATCACATTGATGAAAGGACTGTATGCAACACTGTTGCACCTGAAAAGGATGTGGATGGATTCCATGTTTTCAATATTGGACGACTGTGTCTTGATCAGCCAACTATTATACCTGCCACTGCTTTTGCTGTTTGGGAAATAATAAAGAGAACAGGTAAGCAAACCATGTAAGAAAATGATGGCAGATTAATACACTGTGGAAAATATTTTGGAGAAATGAGATGGCATTCTGTAGGGTTTCAGAATACCAAAATGCCATGCTCCTTAGCTAGATATCAAAGAATTAGATATGTTTGAAAATTTAGATTAGTGTTGCAGCTTGTTGCACTGAAGATGTTAGTCCATCTAGGCTCATGTATAAAGTAATTGTATTATATTTGAAAAGGGGAATCAAATCAATTTCCAGAGTGGGGGATTTCAGAGCTAACATTTTTTACAGTGCTGAGATATTACAGACCAAGTAGCATTTTATATATTGTTATATCTGAAACATTATCCACTTGGCAAAGAGGAGAAAATGCTGTCCTCTTCTGAAATATGGGAAATGGATAGTTTCTTATTTTTGTTTTAGATTTATTTTAGGAACATCATTTTAGGCTAGTGCACCAGCATCTTTTTGAAAAACAAAACCATTTAGTATGTAGGAAGAAAATACATGGAGAAGGCTCCCAGATCTTTTCCTGAGCTTCATAGTATCAGAGTCAGGGTAATGCAGAAATAAAGAGCTGCATCTTAAGGAGGAAAGGTTTGTGTATGTGTTTGCAAGCTGGGAGTGAAGGGGAAATTCATTCTTGCTGTAGAAGGACGGCAACATTGCAAGCTCCTGCCCTGATAGTTGCTGTTGTGAGGGAGCCAGCCCCAAACCTCCTGAACTGGTTATGGGAAGAGGAGAAGATATCCCAGGATGGAGAAGGGACTGGCTTGTTGGGTAGTGTTTGGCCGCATGACACCAAGTCCATGAGACCTTTGCCTGAAGAGCAAAAATGACTTAATTTTTAAAACACATTAAGGAAAAAAATGTTTGGACAGAAAACAAGACCTACAAATCCCAGCATTGCCCAGCCAGCGTGGCTTGTTCTGTCTAAACATGCATAGGATTGCCCTGTAATTAATTTTAATTAATTTAAATGTGTCTATGTATCAAGCCTGCAGTTCCATCTTGAGTCACCAGATGACAGGTCTTCTTATACAGGTCTTCTCTGTTACTGTGAGGACTGGGACTGGCGTGAACATGCACATCCCTCAATGGAGTGTAAGGGTGTACCATGACAAGGACTATGCCCAGGGGTGCCAATTTCTGTGGCTTTATGCAAACAGAATGGGCATGATGCATCCAAAACTGCATGATATTGCTTGGCTTTGCTGTATCAAACTATTTCTATCCATAGGAAATTGTTTGCTGATTTAATAATGAAAAAGACACCAGTCAAAAAACTTTCACATACATCCAAAAGATGGAACAATATCACTAAGGCAATCTACACCTGAAGAGATTATACTGTTGTATTATATTTCCCTCAAAGTAAAAATACATCTGCTTTTCTGGGTTCCAAAAGGCACAGCATGGTGAAAATGCAGGATAACTGTATGTTAAAAGTTGCTTCCCCAAGAAAGTGAGTGAATGAAGAATGGACTTTCTAAACTGATTAGCCTTTTTGTAAAGTATGTTTGCACATATAAGCTCTGATTTAAAGTTTGGCTCAGATATAAGATGTGGGTTTTTTGAGATATAATTTTCTTTATGAATGATTGCTTTTGAAAGCTCATGCCATAATAAAAGAATGTAAGAAGAGCCATGCTTGATCAGACCAAGGGTCCGTTCCCGCACTCCGTTCATGCTAACTGTGTATGGGAACCAACAAGTACGACTTGTGTGCAGTAGACCCTTCCTGCTTGTGTTCCTTGAAAATGGAGGTTCCATATCTCCATAATGAATTTATCTGATCTCTTTTAAAGCTATCTATACTGGTAGCCATCACTGCTTCTTCTACTTTGATAGTTAACTGTGTGCTGCATGAAGAAGTAGTTAGAGTCACAGAATAGTAGAATGGAAGGGGCTGGTAAGGCCATTGAGTCCAGCTCCTGCTCAATGCAGGACTCCAAATTAAAGTTTCCCTGACTGATGGCTGTTTACCTGCCCTTTGAATGCCTCCAGTACAGGAGAGTCTGCAGCCTCCCTACATCATTGGTTCCATTGTCATACTGCTTTGACAGTCAGGAGGTTTTTCCTGATGCCCAGCCAGAATCTGGCTTTATGTAACTTAAGCTCATCACGCCTAAACCTGCACTTAGGGATGTACTTGGTGGGCATGTCGTGAGCAGAGCCGGCTGGTGCCAGAGGTCAGACTAGATGGCCCAGGAGACCCCTTCTGACTCGCTCTGTTTCTGTGTTTCTATGTTACTTCCTTTTATATGTCCTGGTGCTCCCACCAATCAGCTTCATCAGATGACTCTGGGTTCTAGTATTATGAGAGAATGTCTTACTATCAGGTTTTTCCACACTATGCACAATTTTGTACATACCTATCACTTGCCCTTTCTTTAAGATAAATAGTTCCAGATGTAACCTTTCTTCATAAGAAGAGTTGCCTTGACCCCTTGTTTGTCGTAATGGTTGTTTTCTGCACTTTTCCCTGTTCTATAGTATTCTCCTTAAGTGCACTGATCAGAACTGTACACAATATTCCAGGTTCCACAGATCAGTGTCGGGGCAGTATGAGCTTGGCAGTTCTGTTTTCCATTCCTTTCTTAATTATGCCTAACATGGAATTTGTCTTTTTCACAAAGCCACACACTGGTTGAGATGTAATTCAAGCTGTCCACCACAAGTCCAAAATCTCTTTCTTGGGTTAAGTCACCACTAGCTCAGATTTCATTGCCATGTATGTAAAGTCAGGATTTTTCACCCAAACGTGCATCACTTACACTGAAGTATCATTGTTGTATTGTAGTAGTGTTGGTAAACTAAAACAAAGGTATTTGGGAGCCTAACAGTGTTATTGTGTTTTTGGTTCCATAGTGGAAAAGCATAGAAGTGGAAAAGCATAGAAGTTTCCAAAAAAGGAAAATTATGTATAATTATTAGAGCCAACATTTTTGAAACTGAAAAATCTGATGCTTTTTATTTTGCATGAATGATGGACAATATTGGAAATTATTTTGATCCTTTTTACTCATTCTATAAGGAATACAAACATTTGGAAGAAATGTTGTTGTAGCTGGAAGATCAAAGAACGTTGGGATGCCAATTTCAATGCTTTTACATACTGATGGAGGACATGAAAGGCCTGGAGGTACTTTGAAGAACATTCTGATTTGTTGTGATGAAACTCTCAACACAGATAGAAGGGAGGGAATAAAGGAAGACAAAATAGTGCATTTGCTACTATTTGCTATGTTCCTGAGAGGATTTATTTATTTATTTATTTATTTATTTATTTATTTATTTATTTAAACATTTCTATGCCGCCCCATTCGCCAAAGCCTCGGGGTGGCTCACAACATTTAAAATAACTAGAACTTGAAGTGGGCCCCATCCTGACACTCTGGTATTTGGATAGCATTTTTAATTCCTGATATTTTAATTCCTGATAAATCTGTGATTCCTTTCCTATCATCTGCTCTGTGAAACAATGCTTTTCTCTGAAATATCTTAGGGCAGAGGTGAGCAGCTTGTGACCCTCCAGGTGATTGGCTTACAGTTACCATTAAACTTAGCTAGCATAGCTCAAGATGAGGGATCAAGTTGTATGCCAAGACATTTGTAGGGCTACACATTTCCAGCACCTGTCATAAGAATTTATCCTATCTTGCTGTTTAACCTGACCATATTTTATGTCAACTGTTCTTACAGAATCAAATAGCCATTTGGTATGCTTGTATTATGACATGTTCAAAATTTACTAACTTAATCACCAATTTATGTTTCCTTATCTATTATATACATGGCAAAGTGGTTGTGAAACTGGATTGGTATGAAAGGAAATACCATTCAGTCTAATTTTCCTGTTCTTACATGAATAGGGTTTGCTTTTTAATTATTTTTATTTTGCTGCCTTATCTCTGATGCTTACAGCATGATTATGTTATTTGCAAATCAATGTATCTGCCATTTATCTTGAAGCTTTTGGCAGACTGCCTTATATTCATCATTATGTTATTTTCTGTTAACCAAGTTGGTTAACAAGACAAGAGATAGGCATCCTGGTGCCCTCCAGATGTTTTAGACTGCCATGCCTGTGACCTCTTCCCATTGGCCATGTTGCCTGTGGCTGATAGAATCTGTCTGGAAAGCACCATGTTGCCTACCCCTGTCATAGGCCATGGGTCTACCACAGTCAGTTGTGTCCACAACTGTGTCTGATGTTCCAGGTAGGGCCTGTCAAGTCTGAGAAAAGAGGGAGGCTGCTGTTACAGATTGTCATATATTTTGAATGAAAAATCTGGAAGGTCAGACCTTTAAAAGGTGTAGTTAATGAACTCTAACAAGTATATCTGAGCGGGGAAAAAAGAACGCTTTGCTTTGGTTGAAACTCAGTTATTTTTCAATAGTTTCAGTGAGATGATCGGTGCAAATGATGGATTGTTAACCATTATATTTTCACATTTCAACTTTCTTTTTAGAATGCATATACAGACGGTATCTTGACATCTGTAGACTACTTTAATTAGACATTGACTGGGTTCACATGACATGCTAAGCCACCAAGGGGTCATTGACAGCTTCAGTAAACCTGGATAACATGCTATGCCGTGGTGAAGCCAAAATGCTACAAACGCCTTAGCCAGAGCAGCAAAAAGGGTACCTATTGTCAGCAAAGTTTTAGCTGCTGACAGCTGGCAAAACACCCGAGTGGCACTTGGTGCAACTGTCATCAGGCTCCCCCATCCCCTGCCAGTGCTGGGAAAGGAAGCAGTCCTGTTCTTCCAGCAACAGTAGGAGAATGGAGAGCACCAAGCTCCAGCATGTGCTGCACAGTTCTGGGGACTGGGAGGCAGTGCGAGGTGGCAGAAGGAGCTTCTCCACTTCCTTTTGAGCAAGCAAAGCCAGGTGGCACCATCCCATCAGCCACCACCACAGCAGAAAGGGCTGCACTGGCAGATGAGAATGAGCCATGTGACTTTTCCTAGAGAGGAAGGCAAAGATAGCAGTTTGGTAGTCCCCTCCTCACCAGTGCTGTTTGGGAGAGGGAGTAACACGGATAGAGGAGTAGAAAAATCATCTGCTCAGGAGTGTGATCACCCTGCAGTTGCATAGGTCAGCAGGGACATGCCCCCCACACCAGCATGTGCTCTTCTCAGTGGCTTCTTCACTTCACTCTACACTGACCAGCTGGGACAGGGAGCAGCTGTGAGGAGGCTGCTGAGTGGAGCGCACTTCATCCACCACTCTGCTGGCCACTGCTCACTACATGGGGAAATGGCAGACCCAGCCAGCAGGGAACAGGAACCAGTTGGCTGTGCTGGCCCCAAATGACAGGCAGGGATGCAGTGAATGGGAGGAGCCAGCTCTAGCTCCTCTTCCCCTTTGCCACATCCTTGCCTGCCATTTTGGGTTGTTTTAGGAGAGAAGTGATCTTCAGCCCCACTGGCCACACCTTCTGTTCTCCCTCACCTCTCTTGCACCAAGCTAGAGCAGGGGAAGGGGGTGTCTGAGAAGTGCCATGCTGGGTGGATTGGGACTCTCTCTTGTTCTATGTGGCTAGAGCTCATCTGAGCAGTGGCCTCCCAACAGAGAGTGGAGGGGGCTTCCCTCCAACCTCTTGGAGGAGGCCAAGGACAAAGTGGCCCCTCCCACACCCAGATGAGCCCTGGTGTGGCTGGGTAGCAGGAAGGAACCAGTGTGGTGTAGTGGTTAAGAGCATGGGACTGGGACTCAGACTATCTGGGTTCTAGTCCCCATTCAGCCATGGAGCCAACTGGGTGACTTTGGGCCAGTCACAGACTCTCAGCCCAACCTACCTCACAGGGATGTTGTTGTGGGGATAAGATGGAGGAGGAGATGTAAGCTGCCTTGAGCCCTTTGTAGGAAAAAGGCAGGATATAAATCGAAAAATAAATGAATAAAATAAAAAGGAACGGGTCACTTTTGGACTTTGAAGCCAAGTGCGAGATGGCTGCTGATTCCACACTTGAGGTTCCCTTCCCTGCATGCTTCCCAAGCTGTTCCATCAGCAGGTGGGGAATTAGGTGACCGCTGCTGAGAGTGCCTGCATTGGGACCTGTCATCCCCAGCAGAATTTCCAAACTGTGGAAAAAGAAACCATTGTGTGGTAGACACGTTTACTCCTTTTGAGGGTCCTGAAAATAGAAATGTGCAGACCTTTTGCATCTTAAAATAATTTCAAATTAAAGGAAGTACTGTAAAATTTACAGGGTAAACACTTAATGTGACAGTAGTAGAATGATCATTTTATTTGCTGCTGCAATACAGTTTGGAAGTGGCCATTAATTGTGACTAATGTTTTTGTGTCAGGGGATGCTACAGTGACAATTACGCACAGGTATACACCGAAAGATCAGCTGAAGATCCATACCCAGCTTGCTGATATTGTAATTGTTGCAGCAGGTATGTAGTACTGTCAGGGTTTTAAAAATGTGTTAAAATGCAAACATAGTAGAATTGAAAATAATTCATTATAATTCACTTCATTACTGTTAAATGAAATTATTACACTAGTATAAAATGAACATTGGACCGACATTGTGAGGGAGGAGCTGTGATAGAAACTTGCTTTGACACTGGAGAATAGATACTTATGGACCAAGGAAACAGAAATTCTTTCTTGAAACTGTTTATATAAGCAAGTTAAGTCTTTCCTAAACTTGCATAAAATAAGAAGAATGAGACTGGCAGTATCTCCAAGACGGCAATCTCCATTTACCATCCCCTCTGCCAGCCATGCACAACTTTTTGTTATTGTTGTTTTAGCTCCTATGATTGTTTATTTTTTAATTGGAAACTTGAAAGAACAGCTATTTTCAAAGTATCAGCATGTTCTGGAACACTTTTCCTTTTTCTTATATCTAAAGTAGTCCTACTGAGAATAGCCGTAAAAGATGTACACACACAGTGGGAGTGGATCACGATTAGCTGACAGCTGATACTGCCTAAAAGTTGATCTGGTATAAGATTCCAGTTCTGTGACCTTACAACATAGGTCCTCAAACTACAGCCCGCAGGCCGGATCCGGCCCGCCATGCCCATTTATCAGGCCTGCCATAGAGGTTTTGGACTTGCCGCACCCACGCATATGCAAGGTGAGGCGCTGGCTTGCTCGCAAGGAGATCGTTTTGGGCTCGCTCGGAGAAAACGATCTCTGCACACGCATGCCCCTGCCTCGCCATGTGCGCACGCCCCTGGCCCGTACCCCCCACCTGCACCACCTCGGCGGCTTGTGCCCATCGCTGGCACCTTTCAAATGGCCCCCTGTTCAAAAGGTTTGAGGACCCCTGCCTTACAACTTGCAAATGATGCAGGAGGTAGATGAATGGAAACCGGCTTTCTTCACTAGATATGGAGCCTGTGAATGTCTCATGATGCCTTTTGGTTTGGCAGGAGCTCCTGCTGCTTTTTTGCATCTCACAAATATTTTTTTCAGGATTTCCTGGATAAGTTCCTCATTATGTATTTGGATGATTTGTTGATCTGCTTTGCATGAATATCATATGAAAGCCATGTTGCAATGCTGAGAGAATTGCCTGTCAGCCAAGCTGCTTTTTTAGGCTGCATTAATAGATGTATCACTTCTGGATCCCATGAAGAACTGGTTCCCCTTTACTTAGCACTGGTTAGGCCTCATCTGGAGTACAGTGTCCAGTACTGGGCACCACAGTTTAAGAAATTTGCAAACAAGCTGGAAAGGGTTCAAAGGATGGCAACAAGTATGATCCAGGGAGTGGAAACAGAGCTCTGTGTGTAGAGACTGAAAGACCTGTGCCTGTTTAGCCTCAAGAAGACTGAGGGAAGATAAGACAGCATTCTACAAGTTCTTGAAAGGTTGTCACGAAGATGAAGGACATCATCTCTTCCAGTCATCCCAGAGTGCAGGACACAGAATGATGGACTCAATTTACAGAAAGCCAAATTCCAGCTAGATATCAGGAAAAAATTTCCTGACTGTTAGCGCAGATAGATGAAAACTTTATTGTGATTAAAGACCAGTTCCATTCAATAAATACATAGATTTAAAAATGAAGAAAATATATAAAAGATTGTCTATACTAAAACCCCACTCAGATTAATAAATACTTCGACACAGTATCAGTCATCTTAAACTGGTGACAAACCCAGACTTTGTCCTTGTCCAACTAGGTAGAGCCACACTCCCTCAAGATCTGTCTTCAGACACCCATCGCAGCTGCGAAGAATTTAGTGACACTCTATGTTATTGCTGGGTTAGTGTCAGACAGCAATATATATATATTGTTGTTCCGTACGGCGCGGGAAGTGTTTCATCAGTGGGGAAATGAGTGCAGTGCAAATATCCCTGTAGAACGTGCACCTCAACAGGACGTGCTCTGAGGTTTCTCTCTGTTCCACACCACAAGGGCAAAGGCGCTCTGACCAGGGAATCTTTTTGTACCATCCCTCCAAAACTGCTGAGGGGAGTCCATTGAGTCAGGCCAAGGAAAAAGCCCTTCTGTGTTTATGGAGTTCCAACTGTTTGAGATAGGGTGCAGCTATTACAATGTGTCTGTAGTCCTTCCTAAGATAGAATTCAGGGGCTCTATTGAGATCGCTTTGTCTTTCAATGTCTGCAATGCACTGCTTGATGGTTTCCTTTGCCTGGTCAAAGCCCATATTTAGTATAGTCCGCAGGGGAAGGCCTAAGAGAGCTATTTTCTGCTCAACTGATTTAATCCAGTTGGATTTGAAGTCGTCTAGATTAGTGGAGCATGGCCAACTGGAAAGTATACCAATCTGAGCCAGTGTACAAGAATGGCCCCCCAGATCCTAGCTTCAATTTGGATTTGACTGGTCTCCAATCTTATCTTTGCACTGGAGACATCCCTAGGGACACCCAGTATTGCCCTCAGAAATTTTGATTGGACATGTAGTACTTGGGTATTCAGGAAAGCCCCCAATTGAGATCTATTCAGTAGTGGAGATAGTACTTTTGCTTGATATAGTTGGAGGGCTAGGGGAATGTAATGGCCCCCTTTAGATCTCATGAATTGTATTATGGCTGACAAGCTTCTCTGGGCATTTAATGTCACATATTCACCATGGGCATTCCTGGAGCCATTTGCTTGTAGGACTACACCAAATATTTGAATTGGGAAACCTGCTCAATCTTGTGCTGATTTATCTTCCATGATTGAGTTTTTGGTCTTTTTGCAAAGGTCATTATTTTTGTTTTTTGATAATTGATTGTCAAATCTTCTTCCTTGCAATATTCAGTCAGCTTCCACAGTGCTCTTGTAAGCCCAATTGGAGTCCTTGAAATAATAGCTGTATCATCTGGATATAGTAGTATAGTTATATGCCTCCCTGCGATTTGCAGAGGGGGGAGATTGATGTGATTTAGCTGGTCGACCAATGAGTTGATATAAAAATTGAACACGAGTGGAGCAAGAATGCAGCCTTGCTTGACCCCTTTTTGTGTTGGAACAGCATCTGTGAGGTGACCATGCGCACTGCATCTGACCTTGAGGGAGATGCCTCTGTATAGGGTCCGAATAAGTAGAGCAGCACAACTGACTACCGTGGCAGGTTGTGGGCTCTCCCACGCTAGAGGCATTCAAGATGCAATGGGACAGCCACCTGAGGGGGATGGTTACCTGGAAGTGCTACAGTGAGCAGGGGATTGAACCCGATAGCCCTCTAGCCCCTTCCAGTTCTCCAGATTCTGTGATTGAAATGGAAGACGAAATAGTGGGGTTTTTCACAAGGGCATCCTCCCAGGTGTTCTGGCAGACACTGAGAATGGTCAGGAGTTACAACTGCAGGGAGGGGCTGGGGGAGAAGAACTCCTGCAGCCAGTTGAGTCTGGCATGACTCTTGACCCCATGATGCAATGTGGAGAGGGGCAGACCAACCAGCTATGGGGTGATGGACAGAGAAGAGGCTTGCCTGTGTCCAAAAAGACATCCCAGAGGAAAGGGGCCCACGGGTACTCAAACAGAGGATGCTCACAAGTAGTTGCTAGACTGGGTTCAACAAACTGCTCTGTGCATGTTCAGAGGCTCATTCTGTGTTGGTCATGCTTACTGGAAGTGCATTGGAGAATACAGCTTTTGCCAGTCTGTATGGGGTATATGCCCCACTGGCTTCATCCCACAGGAGATGGAAGGGTGGCAGCAAGCGGTACCACAGCCTGCCTCTCTGCTCTTTCGCATCCCTTTCTCTTTCCCATTAATTTTTTGTGAGGGGGCAGAAGGAGTTGTCATTTTTGTTGATTTTAAAACAAATCACTGAAAAAAATCACTCCTTCACACTTGCACATAGCTTGATGGGGCTTTTTTAAAAAGCTTTTTTAAAGGGCTATTTCCCTGCGCACATCACCTTTCCAACTCCTCCTGTTTCTCCCAGAATTGCATTTGTGTGTGACACAAGGTAATGTTTTCAGCACAATGGAAGCAGCGTTCTTTAGCTTGTGCCTCTAACACTTCTTTGAATCTTAATTGGATTTTGGTTCCAGGTATCCCAAAGATGATTACTTCTGATATGATTAAAAGAGGGGCAGCAGTGATTGATGTTGGTATCAACTACATCCAGGATCCACTCACAGGAAAGGTCAAGTTAGTAGGAGATGTGGACTTTGAAGGTAAGCAAACTGCTTTGCTCGCACAGCTGTTAAATCAATCCATTCCTGCTGTTTTTGTAGCACAGGGAGTTTGCTGAGTATTTATCCCTTCTGTAAAAGAGAAACTGTGAAAAGAAATCATGTTAAAAGTTGATACATAGTTTTAGGAGGTAAAGAATTATACTCCAAGGAAATGATAAGGAAGCACTTCTTTTGTTTGCATAAGCTTGAATATGCAAAGTATTGAAGCCCAGTCAAATTGCAGGAATTAAAGTGTGGTAGATACAGGACTTAGAAAAAGACCCCCCTCCCTGACTAGCTTATATAATCCAAATTAATTTGTGTAGCTGTGTCCTTACATAAATCAAAGCACGTAAGGAAGGATAACTGCAGTTTTTTTAGTTTGTCAACTGTGCGCTGACATATATTGGATTCTGTGCTTGCACAGATCAGCATTCAGACTATTCTAGACATTCTGAAGTGAAACAGAGCTTTCTGATGGGAGCCCCACACCATTCCTCTGCATATGCTCCAGGCACAGCTCCTGCCTGTCTCCCAGTCCCTGATGCGCTGCAACAGAGGAAAAAAAATCTGTGAGGCATCGAATGGGGAGGAAGGTGGGTCTGTGAGTGCACAGATGACCATGTGTAAGGGTGTCAGTGACTCATACATATGGATATGCTAAAGATTTCTGGTGGAGGCAGGTGTCATGCAAGGATTGGGAAAAAACCATCCCTGCTAAAACTTGAATCATCCAAGCCGGAGTGAAGGGTCAGTGTAGCCCAGCCCAGTGTGATTGACTTCTGAGTAGAGATGCATATTGGTCTGATTCCAGCTGGTTGTTCCTGGAAGGAAGAGTCATTTGAAGACATCCCAAGCTTTATTTGTTTGTTTCGAGGGGAGGGGCGGGGAGGGGAAAGGGGTGCAGAATTGCATTTACTTTGCAGTTCACAAGGCCATCCAGAGGGAGGGAGGGAGAAGCTGTGGGTAGGGGACAGGAAGGAAGGTAGAAAAGCAACAGAAGGGTTATATAGCATATTTGGAAACTAACCATACTGAGCTCAAACAGAAGCAGCCTTGCTCACTCAGCACTTGAAACAATTTCTTAAGAATAAGTCAAGCCAAACCAACCTAATCTGATTCTTTGACTGGGTTACCACTCAAATGGACACAGGAAATTCAGTGGGTGTTATTTACCTAGACTTTAGCAAAGCCTTTGACAAAGTGCTCCACAACATCCTAATAAATAAATTAGCAAAATGTGGGCTTGACAGAACTGCTATTAGGTAGATCGACAACTGGCTTCAAAATAGGTCAGAGAGAGTGATCATCAGTGGTAATTTCTCAACCTGGAGAGAAATTATGAGTGGGGTAGTCAGGGCTCAGTCCTGGGAACAGTTCTCTTCAACATCTTTATTAATGGTCTTGATGAGGAAGTCCAGAGAACAATTAGTAAATTTGCAGCCTATACTAAACTGGGTGGCATAGTTAACACTCTGGAAGAAAAAAAGGAGATCCAGGGAGACTGAGAGAAGTTTGAACACTGGGCAGAAAACAACAGAATGAAATTCAACAGGGACAAAGTCCAAGTTCTCCACCCAGGCAAAAAACAAACAAAGGATCAAACACAATTATCTGAGTGGGATGGGTTACTGGCATCCTACACCAGCAGGGGGTTGGACTGCCTTCTTGGTCCCTTCTGACCCTTCAATCTATGATTCTATGGGAGAGGTTTGTGCTAGTCACAGATTTCCACCTTCACTTTGGCAAATACTGCAGAAGGAGGAGAGGAGAAGCAGCTCAGTAAGATACATCCTCTTGCAGCACCACTCCCCTAAACCCTACTAGCTCATGGTGCAACAAAACACACAGGATCAATGGTAAATATATTTGTATCTATAATATGTGAAAATTAAGTATTCCTTGGGAGGCTCTATAGTGGGTATTGTTGCAAGCTGGGTTTCCCCTTTGCAATTCCAAAGCAACAGATCATTTTTGGCAAAAGCTCCTTATTCTCCAACTCCCTTTCAGTAAGCACAGCCAGTACAGAATGAGTCTCTGAACATTTGGTATATTTTGATTTCTATGGGACATCCCTTATAGTTTGTAGTTCTAACGTATAGCTCACATCTTTTAAAAGGAGCTGTAGACAGCAGTGCCTCCCTCCCTCCTTTCCCTCCCAATGGCAATATTTCAGTTAACATTTTAAATTACATTGTACGCTAGTTCACTTAAAGTATAATGGCCCACTGTTAGTCAGGATGCATATTCTTCATTATGGCTTTACACATCAGTGTGTATGCATTTACATCAGCTTTATTATTTTGGCTTCAGGAGAGGTGAAATGGTCTTAGTTACATATATCCCCAGAGTATGTTATTCACAAATGATTGCAGCATAAGGGCACTTGCCAATAAACTTTGCATTTTTTGGTGGAGTAACAGTGTTGGTCTCTAGCAGCAAAATCAACAATGTTGTGGCACCTTAAAAGACTAACAAATTTATTTTCCTCTCATTACTTTGACCTATTTTAAGATGTAAACATAACAATGCATCCAATGGATTTTTATTAAAATATTCCCACCTAACATTCTGAGGTGCTTTTATTCGATTTAAACAATTAGTTTGGAAGTACATTACTACATCTTGTTCTGCCAATCCACCTTCTCTTCATGCTTTTCACATTATTTGAAGGTATAACCCTAACCTTTGCAAATGTTAATCATGTACACTGGTACCTCGGCGCACAAACGCCTCAGTTCACGACCAAATCGGGTCGCAAACAAAAATGTTATAAAAGTTTTGACTCAGGTTGCGAACTCCGCATTGGGTGGCAACCGCGATCGCAGCCATTCCCCCTTCCCCCCAGAGTGGGGAGATGGCTGGATCGTGCTGGGGGCAGAGGGGAGATGGCCGAGATCACTCCCTTCTTTCCTGCATGAACATGCCCATGATTGCGCCCATCTTTCCTGCAGGAGTGCAACTGTGATCTCGGTCATCTCTCCCTCCCAGCATGCCCACGTTCACGCCCGTCTCTCCCCCCCCAGCACACCTGCATTCGCGGCCATCTCCTCGCCCCCCGAGCACTCCCACATTTGCGCCCGTCTCTCCCCCCCCAAGCGTGCCCACTTTCGCAGCCATCTCCTCACCCCCCCAGCGTACCTGTGTTCACGCCCGTCTCTTCCCTCCCAGCAC